GCTTGCACGTAGCATGCTGTAAGGTATGAGCCTTCTTAGCAAATCCTGCTGATGATCGGCGGCCGGCGGCGGACGGCCGAGACGCCCAGCTGCAGGACTGCACCGCTAGTCAGCACCAGTTCAGGCTGTTTTCACCTGCATGCATATGTCAAATTATGCGAAGTATCGGTCCCTTCGCCTTCCAACCGTTCAGCTCTGCAGGTGGAATGCCTGCACAGCTCCTGATCATTCATGCCGTCCAGGCTCGGCTTTTGCATACCTCCATATGGGTCTATCAGTTTTCGGCGGGTTCCACTTGTTCTTGGAGGGCCAGTACCAGTACTGGAAAGATTGTCTGCTTCGCACTGTGCTGAGATGGAGAACTACCTGTGTTGGCACTAGAAAAGATACGTGCGTGCTCACAGTTCGGCTGTAACTAGCCACTCCAGGCATCTCCAGGCTTGCTTGCTGAGGGCAGGGATCAAAAAACGTACGTGTTATGATGTATAGTTCTATTCTGAAAGACAAACAACATGACGAATAACGACAACACTCCATCACACCACCATCCCCATCACCACCACCGCTGACTGGCCACATGCACCACGATCCATATCACCACCACGACTGTTTGATTGGCCACATGCACCACCATCCTATCAATCACCACCACGACTTACCGAGCAGCTGAGCACAAGGTAAAGCTGAAAGCAGTGGTTCTGGCACGACCCCTCTACCAAGAGGTTCTGGTGAGGACCCCATTTTAAAAGGCAGAACCTTTCACACTCTGACCTGGTGTGGATTGAACATCTTCGGGTTTAGCTGTAGGTATTAGGGCACTGCCACCAGCTAGACGGTCCGTTGGGGCAAGCGCACCGTGGGTCCGCGGTGTATGACAGCAGAACACACGGGCTAACGTGTCTGCTGGCGGACCGTAACTCCGTCCATATAGTACCATCAAAATAAAGAAATTTAGGGATTCGATTTCTTAGATTTTAAAAATTGAGGGGCTCAATTTCTTACATTGGTGTGTTCTGGGATGTTCTGGGCTTAAACAATAACGGTTTAGTACGGCCGTATTGACAGTTTGGGATGGATCTAGAGGCTTTGCAAGGGCTGAATAAGGGCTGAAATGAAGCTTTGCCATATAAGGAAAAACCGCCAAAACAAACAATTGAGGGGCTCGATTTCTTACTTCGCTAGGTTCTGGGCTTGCTTAGCAAGGGCTTAATACGGACATCTTTGGAGGCATCAGAACTACCAAATCTACTCCCTTAGTTTCTTTCTTGGCTCTCTTCTTTGCACGAACAAAACCAACGAAGATAACATGAGAAGAGCAAGAAATTGGCACGCCGAGTCCAGGGTACCCAGCATTTCTGATATTCAATTTGCGCAATTGTTGTATTTGCTTTATTTGTCGCACGGCTGTCCGAGGGGCTCAATTTCTTAAGCCATTGATTTCTTGAGCAGAGGAACATGTTGTGCATTCTGTACGCCCTGGCGCCTCGGCCGAAGCTTAAGAGTTGTAGGGGCTTAGGGTTTAAGGATGTTTTGGGGTTCCTGAGGGTTGGGTTTGGGGTTAAGATTCGGAGTTTCGAACACGGACGTTCGATTCGACTGCCTATTATAAACCAGCAAGAGGTCCCGAAAACCCCAAGTGTAAGATTCTGCCCAAAGCTAACGTGGCCTACAAATTCCAACAGAACAGACTCTGATTATGGGGTAACCCCCCCGAGCCCGGCAATCCTCAACCTCCTGACCCCGCGAGCACAAGACCTAGACCCCTGGCACCAGGGTACGTAGTTCTTCATGTTGAGTTGAGTACGATGTTTTCATTTTTTTGGTCCGTGATCGAGGTGTTCTTTCGGATATTAGGTTTTGTATTTTCATTGGTCGTGCAGGTGTAAAATGGAGCTGCATTTGAAGATGAACTTGGCTTGTCCGCACAGGGATGAAAACCTCAACCCATAGACCGCACACTCCCAAGGCCTAAACGACCTAAACCCCTGAACCGTAAAAGCCTAAACCCCCCGAAAGACTTGGACCCGGCCATCGTACCTTTAATCAACCCTAAACCCTTTTGGAGGTCATAAACCCTAAACCCTAAAACCCTGATCTCTAAACCCCTTTGAAGGTCCCTTTCAAAAGGAGCCTGAATAAACCCGATTTACCCTAAAACCCTAATCCCCTTTGGAGGTCTATGTACCCGGCGCCTTCGTTACCGGCCCCTTGGTCGGTGCAGTCGGCTGCCGGCGGACGGGGGCCCAGCTCTCCGGAGGTCTTTTAACAAGGGATTCCGGGATGTATACTACATGGTTAGGGTTTCGGGGTTTAGGGCTGAGGGGGCCTTGATAATTACCTATACCATCTGCACGGTTCCGCAGTATAAATTTTTTAAATATGGTATAAGTGGCCCCAAAACCCTGTTCCAATTATGAAAGCCCCTGTATCAGCCCTTGTAGTAGAGCAGGTAACCTTAGGGATAAGCATTTATAAATTTATAAACCTGAACATCCCTAAACGCTTTGGGATTGAAGGAACGCTGGGTTTAGGAGGTTGAGGCTCGGGGGCTACGGTTCCGGTTTTGCGGGGTGTGCCTGGTGTTTTGGGGCTTGCGGCTTAGAGGTTTAGTAATGTTGGGGTTTAGGGTGTAGAGTGATGTTCAGTTTTGACAACGACAAGGACGGTTTTCGGTCTCAGGGTCTTCTCGAGCGGCCATGTGCGAGTTGCCCTAATAGAACCTCCTGAGCATTGACTGGGCGATGCTCGCCAACGAGAGTGGAAATTGTAGTGAAGTGGTTTATCGTCGTCGTCGCCTCCGCGAGAGGGGGAACATGACGGAAGGGAGCAACTGTAACAATCGCATTCGTGATCGCGTTGTTCTGAATGGCGCGAAACCGATATGGTTGCACGTGACTTGACTGCCATTCGCCTGTTGAGCATTGTTGAATACCAAACACCACTGTCGTGGTCCCAAGGACTTTTGTATTGGCCACGGCCCTCATCGCTGCAGGCAGGAGTGAGACCATGCAAGTCTCGCGTGGGGTCACTTTGGCAGCGGAGCGGCATAGGAGACGGAAAAATATGCTTTGGGCTTGAAGAAAGACTTGAGTTAGGATTTCAGGGTTTGCCTTCAGGCTTGAGATTCGGTATGAACAGACAGGCCAAAGCAGATGGAGCGATAGGGCGGTTCGTTCCATCGAACCATACCTGAACGGTGCTGTGCCCCACCTGGATGCTGCACCCTAAAGCATAATCCCTAAATCCTAATCCTTAAACCCTAAACCCTACACCTTAAACGTGCTCTCTGAGACTTCTTGCCGAAAGTGCGGAGCCATCCGCTCCGGTCCCCGATCCCCAAACCCTGAAATCCCCAACTTCCGACTTCGTTCTTGCTTCTTTCTAGGCCCCACAAGAGGAATCTAACCAAAAGGGAGACGGGCAACTCGAACCCCAAAGCACAAAACGTCAACTTCGAGAACCTGAAGCCCAAGGTACCTTGGGCGGCCCAAATCCGTGTTTTGTAGAGTAGAACCGGGCGTATCGAGTTGTAGGGACCCCTATTGAGGCAACAGTGGCAACATGAATCAAGGAAGCCCTAAAAACTCTATAAACAACAACTAGACTCTAAAGCCCTAAACCCTAAACCCTAAACTAAACTCTAAAGCCTTAAACTCCAAGCCCTCAAACCTCAACTCCTTGGCAGGCTGTGCTTTGCGCTGCAACTCTTGGCCGGGGTCCCGGGGTGCTTCTTTGGGGACGCCATTTGGGGTTCTTATGCTCTAATCTCGGTATTTCCTAGGGGCCTCTGTTATCCATAAGATAATGAAGGTCCCTAATGAGAAGCAGATATAGTTTGTAACAGCCTCGGTGTGTTAAGAGTTCCACTTTCGGCTCTTTTGAGGATGGTCTCTTGGTGCCAACTGCTCCCTAGATGTATGCACACCACGTTGAACAAACACTGAAAGCGATAAGAACTGATACTTCAGTCCCTCATTGGATGCATGAGGGGCGTGAGCACGGGCTCAGACTCTGATGGACAAGGTTCGTAGATGTGTGCATCACAATAAATATAGATAGCCGGTACCGGTAGCTGAGCACTTCGACCCTCTCCCGGGGCCGCGCTCTTCTACCGACACCAAAAGCCCGAACCCCGCGGCGGAGATAGAAGGCTTCCCCGAGCCTGAACCTACTAGACTCTGAGCTCCCCTAAACTCCTCCCCTAAACCGCGAAGTGCCTAGACCTGAAACCCTAAAGTGCAAACCCTCAACTCGATACGTGGCCGACGAGCAAGTTTAAAGTTTTTCGAGTTGAGGTTCTAGGGTGCAGCATTTCGAGCCAAGTCCAAACGGTTATTTGGGATAGTGCTGGATTTCCCTGGCTTGGGATGAGATGCTTGTCGATCAGGCTAGGGGTTTTGGGCAGTTGAAGGTTTGGGGTTTAATGTTTCTGGCTCTCGGTAGGTCTAACCCCAAGCCCTAAACCCTAAACCCGACACCCCTAAACCCCAAGCCTGTAACCCTATACTCTAAACCGTACTCCTTTCGCTCTGCGTACGGGTAAAGAGCCATTGCACTTTAAAAAAAACGAACACCCTTAAACCCCAAACCGCACACCCCTAAACCCCAAACCCTATAAACCCCAAACCCTATACCCCAAACCGTACACCCAAACCCCAAACCCTATAAGCCCCTAAACCCTATACCCTAAACCCCACACCCCCTAAACCCCCAAACCCCTATAAGCCCCTAAACCCCAAAACCCCAAAACCCCTGAAAGACACCCTAAACCCCAAAAAATGGAATCGGGTTGTGGGTCCAGGAGCGCCCACTCCACCACCAGCACCGACAAAGTTCTCGGCGACAGGCCGGCGGTCTCGCTGCCCATAGTTTTGTGGGGGGGGGGGAGCTTAGGGTTTAGGGGGTTTGGGGTTTAGGGGGTTTAGAGTTTAGGGGTTTGGGGGCGTGGGGGGTTTATAGGGTTGAGGAAACCCTATCAGTTCAGGTAGTGAATAATAGGGTTTGGCAACTCAAATTAAGCTCCTTAACAAGAACCCAGTTCGGGGGACGATGGGGAGGGTTGCGTCGGTGGATCATTGAAAGCTGTGCTTTTGTAGAGGATCCTGTATCAGGCCCTGGGACTGGATCCAATCTGCTAGACTGCTAGATTACTAGGTAGGCCTTTGGGACTTTATTTACATACTTTTATTTTTTGTTCGTATAGAACCATTGTAAAACCCAAGAGGATTTAAAACAAAATGTGATGGTTCTACGGGGGTGTGAAGCTTCATTGGATCTTATTTGCAAACATGTTTCCGAGGGTCACAAGGGCCAACAGAGTGGAGATGCAGGGTCTTTTCTGGAGCTTGCGAAGTCATCCGCCGGAAGTCCCCGCCGCAGCAAGCGGGCATTGTACTGATCTAAAATGGGAGATCGGGTTCAGACAGTAGGAGTAGAATGTATGCGTTTGGGAGAGGGAACACGGTGACCCTAAATCCTGCAAAGCCCTGGGCACTGAAAGCCTGAGGTTTACTTCATTTCCTGACATCCTAAAGCCCTAACCTGGAACCCTAAACTCCTCTCAGCCCCACATGAACATCGCCTGCCCTTGGGCACCTCTCCCGCCCTCCAGTGCCGCCGACGGCTGGTTATTTCCGGCGTACTACAACAACGCCGACTTCATGTAACTCGGCTATGGAATGACTACAAAACCTTACAAAACCCTACGAAACCAAAGGTTTTAGAATGATCAAAGCTTTTTAAGACCCTTACCAAAAAGTCTGGGTGGGGAGACTCTTGGGCTGAGTCCTGAGGCTTCAGAAGTTGGGGCTTCGAGAGTTGAGGGTTGCTCCCGGTGGGCGTAGCGACTCATCATGGTTAGGGTTTTAGGGGTTTAGGGGTTTATGGTTTAGGGGTTTGGGGGTTTAGGGTTTGATATTTTAGGGGCTCAAATTTCGACCAAGCGGAAACGGCATTGGCTAGACCTGCGACTTGGCGCCTATATATGGGTGATTGTCAAAATCAAGGTCCCTTTTGGGTACCCTGAATATGAGGTGCCGTACTATATTAGGGATCCAATCAGGGACCCTAATATTCACAACCACCCATATTCCCTGACATGCTCGATTACCTTCGGACCCTGGGCTCGGATCCTAGTGATCCTACAGCCCTTAAAGTTTAGGGGTTTAGGGGTTTAGGGTTTAGGGCCCTGAGCCCTGACCCCTTAAACTCTTAGCCACCATAAACCCTAACGGCCCAACTCGCTCAAAGAATCCTAAGCCCCGTTGTGGGAACACGTCGGGTGAGAATTCCATGGCTGAGGCTTCTGCTGGCTGGCCAGGGGCTGTGCGCCCTAGGCGCGAGCGACGAAAAGACTCAACGACGAAAGGATGCGAATTCACAGGAAGTCAAGGGTTTCAGGTTTAGTGATCATCGCATCAAGCAGTGTACTTAAACTTTACAAAACCTTATTTCATGGGCAGCCTCATGCAGCAGCAGCCGTTGTGACCTCACAGTCATCATCACGAAACGAAAGTGATGTAGTCGGAACGTTTGCGCACTGCTGGCTAGGCGCAGACCTATTCTCACGATGCAGGTGTGTCACCGAGGCGAACCCCCAAAACAGGAAGGGCGAACCCCAGCTTCTAGGACTCCACAAACCTTATAACCCCAATAAACAACCCCAGATCGCCACTCATGATTGAATTCTTATATATTATTATCATTATTATTATTATTATTATACATTAAGCTACATTATATACTATCTTGTTGTATACAATTATGTGTATATATATATATATATATATATATATATATATATATATGAAAGAGGCCAGCCTCTTCTGGTGAACTGCACCTCCGAGATGGGTGCGGACTGGTTTCCGCCGCCACTCGGGCTGAAGGGGACCGAGGGTTTGTCCAAACCCAAGTAGTATTAAACCCTGCGCAGCATTTCGGGCTTAGGGCATCTGCTTGTTATGGTTTGACGACTTCTGAATTAGAGTCTGGGGAGTTGGATTCTGCGCTCAGCTTGTACACCAGCCTTCTTTCAGGGTGTCGGGATTGTCGTACTTGGCGGAACCCGCAAGCCAGGCTTCAGCCCTTGCAAATATGTGCCGCTTTCAGTGGGCTTGCCGGTTGCTCCTACAATCCCACCTCCCTCTCTGTCTCTCTGTCTCTCTCTCTCTCTCTCTCTCTCGCCCTCTCCCTCTGGCATCGTCTAGATGCTTGAAATACCCAACTGCCTGCAACCCAAGGCCCTCAGCCACATGCAGTACTCGAATCCCGATTCAACGGACTCTCTACCCTATGGCGCGGTTTCTTGTAGTTAGATGTCCGTACAATGAAGCTTCCTTCCTTGCGGCATAGATTTGCGCCCCTTGTCTTTGATACTGGACTTCCTCAAAGCTCGAACTTGCCACTTCCATTTATATGTTGGCCTCCGCTTCCGTTCCTATATAGCCAGGCCATTCACGCAGCAAGACCATCATGATAACCATCACAAGACCAGGCCTGTGAGAACAATATGTTATCCTTTATGTTGGTTTTATGGCTGATGTTGCTTGCGGTGGATGGTGTCTAAGAATGAAACCAAGGCCCCTGGTATGGCCCCTGACCCTACAATCCTTATATACCCAATATGGACCTTATACGTACCCCCATGGGTCCCTTGGAAGGGCTAAGGGCCCACACTTCTAACCCTAAATGGTGTAAACAGTTGTGATCTACACTAGCGAGTTTCAGAAAAACTACAGTACTTCAAGACTAACCATTGATATTGGAGGAGCTAAGGAGTTAGGGATGATGATAGTCCCTAATAAAAAGGAGCTAAAGAGCCAAGGGAACCCCAAAACCACAGGTTAGAAGAGCAGTACCATGTTTTGTATCCACTCTTTCATTGCCCACATACCCCCATGTCAGTGCACTGCCAAGGAGCGAGAGGCCTGCGGCGGCCACCTGCCAACATGGCTCAGGGGGGTTGAGGGTTGGGTTGGGGTTCAGCTTGTCTCTAGTGCATTGAAAGATCTAGCGGTAGCGTTGAGCTGAGGGTTTGGAGGCCGTGGCAGAGAAAAGGAGGCCCGAAAAAAGTCATTACACTCCGTTTTAAAAGTACTTGCAAGTTAAAGCGATGCCAAGACCTTAATCTACTTACCAAGGCTAGTGCCCCTGTGCCCTATAGCCCTGTACTACGGCCGGTTTGGAAATCCTGCGTTCTTCGGACTTCCGTCGAGGCACTTAGAGTATGGGGCTTTCTGGCCTCTGAGGTCGTTTGCTTTCGCTCCGTGCGGCTTTGCAGTAGAGGCGATGAGCTCTCGAGCATATCAGGTTCTACTGTTGTATTCGTTGTAATAACGTACTAGTATAATCATAAAGCTGTATACTAGTATATCCTGTTGTAGTATACAAGACTACGTGGGGAAGGGGTCGGTAACGGTTTCAGGTTTAGGGTTTCCCTTGCAGAGAACCTTCGAACGAACCATGCTCGTTTAACTGGAGCAAAACTTGCCGAAGCCCGCTGCAGCCGGCCCCGTTTGTTTGCGTGTGCACGTATGCAGAACTAGGCAGGCCTTTGGGACATTTTATATTTTCCCATATTGGGCATAATAGGACCCTATGTACGAATATTTTTCAGAGGCTTTGAAGGGCCAGCCTAGAGAAATTCTGCCCAATACTGGAACCGATCCCAAAAACAACAAGAAGAGTTTCAACAGCAGTGCAGGGGTACACGGACGAATTGCAGCAACGAGAGGACAACAGTCGTAGCAGCAGCCGTGGGAGCAGAATGTGTTGGTGTTGGTGTTCTTGCCGTTGCCCAGGAGGATTCGCGTTCCAATTCACGTTGGCAGTACCGGCGCCAAGTACTAGTACCAGCAGTAGTGGTCGTCGTCGTCGTTGTTGTTGTTGTTGTTCTTGTCGCTGTTGCTGTTGCTGTTGTGGTTCCTGTCGTCGCAAGACGTAAAGAGCTAGTAGCCGTCACGAAACGGAGCAAGAGCCACAATATCTGGAGATTCGACACCCCAAGTCGAACGCCTTGAACCACACAACGGAGCCTAGCACCGAGGCAATGATCTCCAACTTGATGAACTTCGTGGGCGGATCCCTGTCCTTTGTCATCCCACCTCTCTTCGTGGATGAAACAAGGCTGCAGGAGAAGATTCTCCGAAAGCTCATGTGTATGCCCTCCATTTGATGCGTACGTGCGTCGCACGCCTCCTAATTTCACACTATTCTCTAGGGCTCCATATTATATGATCATCACAGTAAGATACATCCCAGTAGCTTATTCTAGTCATTAAGGCCCCTATTCAAGCCTCCTGGGCCCGCAAGCCATTCCTCGAAGCTCCGTTTTTTGCTGGCCCAGAATCGAAAAGTTCTCGAGCGCAAGCAACCCCCCTCAGGCTCTTCCAACCCTTAAAGACCTTACAGTAGAAGCCAGAAAGTTGGAATATCATTATCGTAACCCTTTTAAGGTAAATTATATGGGATCCTACCATTAATCCATATTCCAACTTTCTGGAGTTCCCTTTAAACTCCCGAAACCCCAGCGGCTTCCGGATGTCTGCGCCAGCTCAGGACAACCCCACGGATGTGGAAGCACCGTGCTGGAAAGAAGGGCTCATGTGGAGTTTGCCCTAAGCCTCAAGAGCCCAAAGTACCCTCAACTAACCCCCGAACCCTTTGTGCCGAGCCCCCGGCTGTAGGAAAAGAGGGCTCAAAAACAAATTAAGCCGTAAATTACTAAACTTCTAACCCCTGAACCCCAAACCTACACCCTAACCTACAAGACCTGAGCTTTGGGAGTCTTAAGTCTCTGCCGGAAGTCTGGGAGCCCAAAGAACCCCCCAGATTAGGGAATATACCATAAAGTTATAAGGGAATATACCTTAAACTTATAAGGGGATTCATGATTTAAACTATATTCCCTAATTAAGGGGTATTAGGGCTCTCTGGGCTCAAGCCCTGAAAGCGCCATACGGAGGCCGACGCCCAAAGTTATGAGCTCCCCTTGAGCTCTTCGACGCCCTCAGGAACCCGAAAACGGTTTGGATTTGGGCTGATCGGGTCAGCGAAATAAATACGAAAGATAGAGAGAGAGAGAGAGAGAGAGAGAGAGAGAGAGAGAGGAAAGTACAGCCGAGCCCCTCCACTGCAAATCGTGGATGGGGATGCGCACATGCGCGGGGCAGGGGGACTGCCCCTGCTCCTTTCCCCGGAGCAAAGCAAAGAGAGAGAGAGAGAGAGCGTACTATGATGGTACAATCTCGCGACAACAGTGCCAGCGGAAAACACGCAACAACTGCCATGCTGTCAGAAAACGCTCACGCAAGGACAGAGTGCTTCAACAAAGGAATTACTACAACGATCAAGGCGATATCTCACAGTGGCAAGGGTCCTGAAACTTCAGATCTGAACACTTTGCTTCTGAAAGCACCTTATCCCCGGCTTTACCCCCCGAAGAGGCTGAGTCCTAAACATTGACCCGCAAACACCCAAGCCTGAAACCGTCTCCAGCATGCCTGCCGTGCCCAGGTAATGCACTCGCAGATTTCATCTCTGCTCAGTTTTCAATTTCACTCGGCGACGCTTGTCCTCTTGACCTTGGAGTATATAAGCAAGCCCCTGGAGATTTTCGGTTAAATTCCTAGGTTCAAGGTTTCCCGGGTCTAGCGCTGCAAAGTGCCAACTGCGTTAACCTCGGTGGTGTTGTGCCATCAGGTCAGGGTCCTTCCAGCAGTTGTCCGGTATTGAGATATATAGTGACCCCCAAAGAGACCCTTGCATCGCCATGTTTCGAGAGCGCAGTGCAGATTCTGGGGAATCTTCGGATCCACGCTGATATTCTCAGTCTGGGTTTTATGTAGGGTGTTTGGCTTTGTTAGGCTACTGGTTGACAAATCCCGCACTGATCCGAACTTGACATGTCTTAACATCGTGCACCACTTAGCCTTGAGGCAGCACAGGCTGAACGTTCAGGTGTCAGAGGCAGCATGGATCTAGTGTTTTTGTGATACTGATCATTTAAAACCATTATTCACAAAGTTTTCAATTGATAGTAATAATCCGCTACTAGTGTTCTAGAGGGGTTTCTGTGGTTTGTAGGGTTTGTTAGTAAGAGTCACAAGATGCTCAGTGGGCTTTTGTAGGCTTCGGAGTTTCGAGCCTCACGATGCCCAGCCGCCTGCCTTTAGCCGCAGGCAAACGACTCCCTGAGCCCTCCGTAGCCATTTTGGCTCAAGTTTCGTGGCTCAAGGGCCATTTTGGCTCAGGGCTCAAGGTAGACGTGGGTGTGTGTGCCCAAGTGTGTGCGCGCCTCGATCCGGCCTGGTGCTCTGCGGCCTGATTCTCCCGACGAAGACCCCGGTCGGCGGAAGGGGTACCACGTGCTTTGCCTCAGCTACCTGATTAGGGCCATGCAGGGGGTACTCCAACTTGGGCTTCCCGGTAATGTGCCAGTTCCCGCCAGTGACGAGGAGAAGAGCCCTAAGCGGAAAAGCGAGGTCGCTAGGTCTGGGCCGAACAAGGCGGGTAGAGGGAGAGATGATCGACGGAGAGTTGACACTGGCGAGGCCTTGCAGCAGGAGGGTTCGGACGGCAAGCACCTCACCATCAGCATGGCGGATTTTGAACGGCTACTTGATCGACAGAGCGAAACCATCCTGAAGGCCAACAGGGAGCATGCACAGGGGCTTCTGGATGCTCTCGAGGCTCGTCACGGGGGCCGGCTGGATGCATTGGAGTCCGGAGTCCAAGGGGTTCACACAGGGATGGCCAAGCTGGAGCAGCGCCTTGCTGCCCTGGAGACCGCGCAGCTTCAAGGGCATCACTTGCCTGGGGATCCATTGGAGTCCAAGCGTAAACAGACCCTGGTCTTTGGAGGCTGGGGGCGGGACACGAAGAAGGACACGGTGCTCCGCGAACTCGAGGAAGCGCTCAAGGGGTTGGGGTTAACACGACTGGTATCTCAGGCAGCCTTCACTACGGGCCCGCGAAAATCCGTGGCAATCATGAATTTCCCCCTCAAGCCCTCTGAGTCCGAGGATCAACGAAGGGAGCGGATGCACGAGATGGTCCTCTCCATCTCCAAGGCAAATGCGGTCACCTCGGCGGGGAAGAGACTGTGGTGCTCGTATTCGCGGACCAAGCAACAACGGGATGTGAGCAGCCATTGTGGATGGCTTAAGCGAGCCATTGCCTCGGTGGATGCGGATTGGGCCAAGGAGCTGGATCTCGAGTATGCCACTGGCTCGGCTTGGCTGGGTAACAGCATGGTTGCGAGCGTGACGAATGGGCCCGATGACAGGACTCCCGAGGGCAAGATGCTTTGGAACAACAAGGGGCACACCAAGGGATGGATCGACCTCGGAAAGTTGGCTCGTGAGATGGGCGTCGCGGAAGACGATCTGCGAATGGCCCTCAACGACACCAAGCGATGACCGCTGCAGCGAGCGGTGGGCCAGCTCCGAGCAATTCATGCAAGCATTGCAAGGGAATTCGAGGAGGACGATGGCAGAGGTGTGGGGCCGATCCTGGACTTCAGCCTGCCTCCGCCCGAACTTGGTGAAGCCAACTCGGGCATTTCTGCTTTTCCAACTTACGGTGATCGAGATGATCCTCGGAACTACTTTGAGGTCAACGTGTTCGGCTGGAATGTGGGCGGCGCTCCCCTTGATTGTCTAGGTGAAGCTGTTGCCTTGCATGCCGGTCGGAGGGTTGGGGTCGACGATCTTTTCCTTGTACAGGAGTTTTCTCGCAGGAGGCTTGGATGGAGTGTTGCCACACAAGGGCGGCTTCAGGAGGTCTCGCACAGATACAAAGATCAGTGGAGAGGTGATGGGCTTGTGTTTGATCCTTCAGCTTGGGCGGTTCTTAGCAGAAAGGCGGCAGGGAAAGGGGTATGGTTCAAAGTCAAACACCTACGTACCGGTCTGGAACTTTGGTTGGGGACCTTCCACCTCACGCCGGGATGCAATCAGACGTGCTTCAGCGATGAAATTGCCGGGTTCCTCAGTAAGAAGCCCAAGGACCCCCTGCCGACCATCATTCAGGGAGACGCGAACTCGGAAATTTCCTGGGTCCATTCAGCGGGCACAGGGGTTGAGGCAGTTGGACAAGGATGCAAATCGGCACTCCTGCTCAATGCCTTTGCTGAATCTCGATTGTTGCCTGCCCCACCGATTGCAGCACACAGGGCCCTACCAACCAGCAGACCGAGACAGCTGGAAAGGCACGGGCACCACATTGATCTTTACGCGACCCAGAGGGTTACGACCAGTGAAGTTCGGATCTACCAAGACTCTTGTTATGTGTCGGGGACTGACCACGAACTCATGCACGGCAAGTTCAGGATCCGTACGGGGAAGGGTTGGATCAGGCATACTACAGGGCCCCGGGTTTGGGTCGGCGGAATCGATAAGATTGACCACATTGATCAGGATGTCCTGGAGAAGCTGGCCTCCACCTGTACTAAACCACGCGCCTCCCAGGCGTACCGTGATCCAGCCAATGTAAAGGAGATCTTCAGACGTGCTAAGGTTTCCAAAACCCGCGAGGCCTGGAAGCAGGCCCTGGCTGCGCGCAGAGAGGCCAGACGTTCGTGGGAGGCGGCACGTCTGCAAAGGGCTTTGGAAGGGGACTGGACCGCCTACAGGGACTTCTGCAAGCAGGGTCACATGGGGTGGGAGCTTGGGTTCGCCGAAGCCCAGGTCAAAGACCCACATGTAGTAGTCCATGATCACCTAGCTGGTATCTACAAGGGTCCGGGGATCGCCACGCTGCCGCCACTGGAAGGATCGCATAGGGCTTTCACGGCTGAGGAGCTGAGTCTAGCTGTTGGCCAACTGCGTACTGGCAAATCAGTGGGAAAGGATCTTACGTCAGCTGAACTGCTCCGGGCGATTGTCCATGTGGAAGGTGGGCAACAGCATTTGCTGGAATTTCTCAACCGAGTGCTTGTGCAGCAGCAAGTGCCAGCCAAGTGGAATCAGCCCTTGATCATCCTGTCATCCTGCTCCCCAAAACGGACCAGCCTCGGAATGCCAAGGAAGTTCGGCCTATCGCCCTCGGCTCCTCGGCATCCAAGCTCTTCGCACGCATGGTGACAAACCGAATCCTGAATCAGCTCCAACACAGGTCTCCGGCCCAATGTGCGGGAAGATTTCGACAACCATCTGATGTCATGTTCACTCTTTCCCGCCTGTTTCAGTTGGAACAAGAGTGGAAACGGGGTTTGGTGGCTTTGAAGATTGACATCAGCAAAGCTTTTGACAGTGTCAATCGCGAGCAGTTACTGGCACGGCTCCTTGATCGACTAGGTGACACCATTGAATACAGAGCACTGCGCGCTCTGCTCACGGACACGGAGGCGACCCTTCAATCCGCATGGGGTGTCAGTTCCTTTTCGATGGGGTCCGGAATCAAACAGGGAGCGATCGAATCCCCTCTCCTGTTTAGTTTTCTCATGGATGTCGCGCTCGCTGATACTAGGGGACAACAGGGGTGGAGCCGCAGAGCCAAACACTTTGACGACCTTGAGCACGAAGAAATCCTCTTCATGGATGATGGGGTCCTATGGGGGCTAGGGTGCGACTCGGTGGGCAGGCGTCTTTCGGAATTTGCGCACACTCTCAAGGGGTATGGACTTCGGCTGAACCTGGAAAAGTGTCGCCTCTACTGTTCGCCTTGGTACAAAGGCGCCCACCACATGGTCGTGCAAGGGGTGAGGTTGCAAAGCTTACCGGTCCTCGAAGTTATGGGAGTGGGGTTTAGGGTCGGGGCGCCGGTCATTGAGCTCATTCAACCATTGCTGGCGAGGGCACGCAGCAAGTTCTGGAGCATCAAACACCTCCTTCGGTGCCGAGCCTCGGTTGCCTCTCGGACCAGACTGATGAACAAGGTAGTAACGAACTCGGCTATGTGGTGTATTGCTGCATTCCCACCTGACCCTACGGCATTGCGAGCTGTCAATGTTTACCAGAACATGCTCATGGGATGGCTTCTGAGACTAGGCAAACGTAGGGATGAACCATGGGTCGACTTCCGCAGGCGGCTTGTTCGGTCGTCCAGGGTCGCGCTTAACAACTCCAAGACACCGCGATGGAGCACAGGCTGGCTTGAAAGATGGTGGAACTACGCGGGTCATAGGGTGAGGGGACTGCTGCACGAATACCCGCCAATCAGTAGCCTCTTAGAAGATTTTCGCACGTTGAGCTGGTGGCGATCCCAGCAAAGCCATCCGCGAGGCGAGCGACATCCGTCCCAGCTCTACCCCAGACTGTCGCTGCTCGAAACCCGCATGAACAAGGCCTGCCAGGGTCCGTGGAGGGTTTTCACTCACAACAAGAACCAGTGGCAGCAACTAGGTAAGGAGTGGATTCGACAGCAAGACCCACCATGGTGTTCTGGGCTTCAGCTGAGTATCATGGACGAAGAGGAAGGGTAGGGTCATGCAGGGCTACACTCGCCAGGGTTGCAGGGTCAGGGTTGCAGTGACACTGAATGACGAGTTGCACTTGGACAAGTGGCTGCAGCAGTGGCCCGAATCTTGGACAGCCTCGGCCCTTTCTGCATTGAAGCATGGACTGCTTTGGCAACCACGATGTCGGCCTCCTTTGTGATGCTACTCGTGATGCTTCGCTACGTGAACCTAAACGGCGGCTCGCGCGCGCGCGGGCCGGCCGACCCCGACCGAACCTCTTCCTCGTCGGCCTCTCGCTCGCCTATGGGATCTTGCTTTGTGGGGCACAACCCACTGATGACGGTGAACCTTGGTACCCGGGGTGGATGATGCGAGCCATTGACCAGCTCTTCGAAAAGATTGCTGATGGAGCCAACGGAGCTTACTTGATCCATGCGGCAGCGGAAGTTGCCCACTCCAGGGGTGATGGGGAGTACCAGGCCTTTGCCCGGGGTATCCTTGCTGATGTGAGCCGAGAAGTCGGCGTCCTCCCTGCTGACCGGCAAGGGCGGATGCTTACGGAGGCCGAGAAGCAATGGGTGGTCTACATGGAGGAGGGCATCCTCATCGACTTCCTGGAGGGCAACTACCCGGCAAGCACTCGGCACCTCTGGATGCACCTCTCTTCTGGTGGGAGTTTTCCCGACCACCTTGAGGTTGAGGAGGGCATGGAACGAGAGGACGTGCAGCGGTTCTTCCAACTACGCCAATGGACCCCGGCTCTCCAGGCAATGCTGCCTGCGGGCACGTACCTCACCTCGGAACGAAGGCAGCAGCAGTGGCAGTTGCACCTGTCCAATTGGATGAGCGATGTCAGGGAGGAGCTCGAACACCTTCAGCAAGTTGGGTGGGATCCACAGTGGCTCTGCTTCAGGCGGTTATACAGAAGGCCCACCGCCGAGGGTACCTCGACTACATCCGGGCCATCGGCGACGTGGTTACCCTCTCCGAACACTTCCCGACCTCTTCTCAACCCTCCTCACCGGTGAACACACAGGGCGGAATGATTGGATACGAGGCCTGGATCCGGGATGCAGAGGAGAAGCTCTTTGCCCTCTACAGTATGCCTATCCAGGGAAGGGGCGATGACCAACCAATGATGGACCTGCAGAACGATGCCACGATGCAGGAGGACATCAACCACACCGAGGCGGCCTCCAGCTCGGATGCAGTGTGCCTCGTTGGGCATAAGGTGAAAAAGAAGTGGTTGAAAAGCCCCAGCCCGCGTAGAAGGAGGCCTACAAGAGAGGAGCCCAGACCGGTGACCGTCACTCGTGAAACCTGCGATCTTTCTAGATGGGCGACGAACAGGGGGCCGACCACCAGACCTTGGAGCCACCAGCATGCATCACCAAAGGAACCAGAAGAGCCCCCCACCAAGCCCAAGGCCAAGGCCAAACCACGACCGAAGGCGGGAACCAAGCAGTCGGCTACACCAGCACTGCCGGCCTCCTCTTCGGATGCTCGTGGAAGTGACGATCCCCCACCGGTGGCAGGCCTCACCATGCAGGAAGCTGTGGCGAATTGGCTGGTATGGCTGAATATTATGGAGCTGGACGACGCACCTCCACGTTTCCTGCCCGCCGACATCGAACACCGCATCTTGGACAACTTCATGGATCTGAGCCCACAGGACCAACTGACCAGTGCCCTGGCCTTGACGAGTATGGTGCAGCAGCTCATGGCCTCAGTGGGGGCGATCCTCCAGGATGCTGTACGGATGGCAGCGCGCAGGGGCCACAACCCTCCACATGACGAAGGCACAGAGGAAACTGTCGAGGTGGAGACTGAGGCAACCGGTTTGATGCAGACCACCATGTCGTCGTCGTGGTATTCGGTCCTCCAACAACTCCGTGAAGCCCTTGAGAGCATGACTAAGCATGCCAGGGTGGCCAACATCCGATGGCTCCGCCGGAGGATCCATCATCGCTGCACAAACACGGCAGCAGGGCGCCTGCTGGGACATGCTACAGGCCGGGTCGCCGAGCTCATTGCCCTCTTGACGGCGGGCATGTCCGACCTGGATGACATCAACTGTCAGGATGCCTCGACCGCAGCTTGTGACTCCTGGGCACTTGAATGGTGGACAAGACTGGAACCTCACCTGCCGATTTCTCGGGGCTCAGCACTCGCTCGAGGGCAAGCCGTATCAGTGGAGGACCCACAGGAAATGCTCTTTCCCAAGCCAATGCCCAACGACACGGACTCGATCGATGATGATGTCCTCCCTACCTTTGACCCTAGTGGACCTCCGCGAGGCCCTCCGCCTCCCACACCGGTTCATGGCTTCCCGGCGGGAACTCCCACTGAGGACGAACTGCTGGAAGCAGCCCGAGCCTTTGAGGAGGCAGAAGCTCTGCGAAGGACCCGCGAACAGGAACAGCTGCGACGGGAGCAAGAGGAAGCGGAGTTTTCCAGGGCCATGGAGATGGCCTACGAAGAGCATCGTGCGGCTACCTACCGGGACTGGGAAACATGGACTTTCCAAGAGGAGCTTTCGCGGCCGGCTAAGAGATCGAGGGGGACACTACATGTGACGACCCGAGTGGGAAATGATGGGGAGCCGGGGGTTTCGAGCACTGTTGCGGTTCCTCTTGACGCTGACGGACGGGGGCAGCTCTTCCTGCAGGTCGCCTTCAACGAAGACGTCCCTACCACGCCCTCGACGGTGCCGGTGCCATTGCTCAGCGATCGGCCAGCTGACCCTCCCCACACGGCCCTGGACCCCAACGAGTCGCCGAATCCAGAGGATGTCTTGGAGAAAGTCTCAGGCATCCCGATGGAGCTGCTCGATGAGCTTTACCAGAAGTGGACTGCAGGGCTGCTAAGCACCTCCGAGATCATCGTAGCACATGGGATGGAAGTGATGAGCTTTCTCCAGGTGCAGAGGCAGGCTTACTTCGATGGGGCAGTCTATCATCGTATGGAGCAAGCACTTGAGGCACGCCAAGACAACGAGCGTGGTCGAGGTTCATCTAGTGATGCAGGAGACTGAAGGCCAAAGCTCTGACTGGGCACAAGCATGGAGGATTGCGAGCCTTCCAGGGGGACGACTGAGAGGGGTTTTTGTGGTGTTGGGGGGTAAGACCCCAGCATCATCTCCTGGCCGATGGCCTTGTGTTAGCCTGGATGATGGGCAGACATAAAAAGGAGCTCAAAAAAAAAACTGCAAGGAGGAGTCAAAGGTGCAGCGCATTACACTTTAAAAAATGCAAGAAGGAGCACAAGAAAGGTTTCCAACCTTCAAAAAGACCATAAAAAACTGCGTTTTTGGACAACCCTCAACCTGTGGACGCAACCGCTTCAAGAACTTCGAGCGACTCCTCGGGACCTTGTGCGGTGCCGACTCCGCCAAGACAGGTGGAGCAACAAGGGGCCACAGCAAGAACCGGACCGAAACCAGCACTACCCAAACAGAGCACAACCGCCGACCACAAAGGAGTCTAAATTAAGATGGAGCCGCCGAGATCTGCCGAGTATCCGAAAAAGGACACGGGACGGAGCATGGCCGTAAATCAAAAGGCGCTGGCACTGAGTCGGTGAGTATCGATCCGATCCGAGAGAGAAGGAACCGGAAGATCCAGGAAGAACCGGGGCCGCGGAGGGAGCCAAGCCGGAGACGGAACGTGACCGAATAGCACCTTAGCGCACAGAAGCGTTATGGCCAGCACGGGAACGTGAAGAGATCATCCGAGCCGAAGAACTTCCGGTGGGCCTTGGCGTTGCCGGGGCCTGAGTCTAAGAAAAGCCCTATCATGACGCTGGGACCTGGATTCCGGGATATGGGCTTCGAGAAATAACATCCGGCTCCTAGGTAGATCCCAAAGAAAGGAAAGGGAGGGATCCGCACCCTATCCCTATACTAGGTATCGATTTGGGATAGTTTTGAAGCTCCGTTATAATATGGAGCCCGGACCATACGTAATTTTTTGCTGAAATCAGTCAATACCCTCTATACTATAAACCCCTCATAGCCCCCTTTAAAGGGAACCCGATTCTAAGTCTTAAGGCCCCTCTTTTCCGCCCCCAAAACCTGCGCTCCGCAGCTCAGGATCCTCGCCTTGGTGTTAACGTATCTACTGTACCGGCCACTTCCGGCAGACGTGGAGGCCCCCGGGTTTTGGGTTTTGAGGCTCAGGGATACCTGGACCCCAGACGACCTACCTTTTTTAAGGACATATATAAGGAAATCCATGGTCAGGAACCCTAAAGGTAGTTTCTTGAGCGTCTAGGAAAAGGCCTGTGGGCATTTAGGTTCATGGCAGACGTGGAGGCGAAAGCTTCGGGAGGCATTTGTGCTTTTTGGGGGATTTGGGGCTACACGAGGTTCCTGAGTAGTACCCTTTGCCCCTTTTCATCTTAGGGTCCCCTTACTAAATAAACCGAATAGTAGGAAAAAGGGTACCGTTATTAGTCAGAGTCAGGAACCGAGTAAAGGTTTCATGGGCAGTGGGGGAAGTTTTCAGGTTCATGGTCTTGGCGACGTCTGTAACGTCTGTGACGCCTCTCTCCGGAAAGAGCCCTAAACCCTAAACCCCTAAACCCTAAGCCCTTGTGGCTTCGGCCGGCTCGAAGTTTGAGTATCGTTGAGGTTCCGAGGCATTCGGTCGTTTCGGGCTCTAGTCCTTGGGCTGAAGCCGCAAGATTTCGGGGATTTAGGTTTAGGGTCACAGTTGTAGAATTAGGTTTCGGATTTCTTGGGTTGGGGGAATCTTGGCAGCTGGCGATTGCATCGGGAAGAGAGTCACTACCTGGCATATTTTTGAATCACAGCGAGACGGAAGTCCGAAAACACGAAGTGATAGGCATACATAGTGCCATCCCCGCGATCATCCACAATTCAGATTGCTGAGCTCCGGAACACCAGCCAGCAGCCAGCAAAACTGAAATCCTAAATCAGCATGTCTCGGGCAAGAGAAATTGAACACTGTTTGGCACGCTAGACAGCGAAACAACCGAGACAGTACCGGTAAGTGACACTAGCAGCAGTAGTAGCAACGCGTAATTGAATAATGACAAGAACAAGCGAACCATGAACACAACAGCATACGGCTGCTCCCGTGCTGCTGCCCCTACTACCGGATATGGGAGTTTCCCAAAATAGGGGACCCTAACGCAGTACCCTAGATAGTAGGATCCCTATTTTAAGGACCCCAAAATAAGGTGCCCCTATGATCGGGAAGTCTAAACCCCTATAGTAGCCCTTTAAAGGAACCCTTATAGCACCCGTATAGTAACCCTTTAAAGGAACCCTTATAGCACCCTTATAGTAACCCTTTAAAGGAACCCTAAGGTACCCCCCCATCTTCGGAAACCCCCCAAAAGAGCCCAAGAGCCGATACGCAGGCCGCGGGGGCCGAAAAGCGTCAGTCAGTGACTTTCATCACGGAGGCGGGCATAGGGTTTAGGGTTTAGGGTTTAGGGGTTTAGGGTTTAGGGTTTAGGGGTTTAGGGTTTAGGGGTTTAGGGTTTAGGGTTTAGGGCAGTCTTTGGGCAGTGACTTCTCATAGGAGGCCAAAAGGGGTTGTAGCCTATGGGGTTTAGTAGGGATTAGGGTTCCCATAATAGGGTTCGTCTTAAGGAATCCCTACCCCAAGAATCTCAGTCTTTGGGCACTTGGAGGTTCATGGGACTTAGTAAGTACAGTTATGAGCACCTTAACTGGCTTTATTGGTAATCCTAAGTATAGTTACCTTATTTATAACCCTAGTAGTTCTAAGTATAGTGACCTTAATTATAACCCTAGTTACTAAGTCCCATGAACCTTTAAGTACCCCTAAACCCCCGTTATTATGGAAACCTTATAGGTCCCTTTAAGGAGCCCTTTAAGGAACCCTAGTTACTCATTTCCATAAACCTCCAAGCAGTCACTTCCCCTGGTGCGTGGCCTGAGTACGCCCTCCAGGTTCGGCCTTCTACACCGTTTAATATGGTTTAGGTTTAGGGTTTAGGTTTGGGGTTTAGGGTTCAGGATTTAGGGTTTAGGGTTAGGTTTAGGGTTTAGGTTTAGGGTTTAGGGTTAAGAAACCCGGGGCCCAAACCCCAAAATACTCGGATTCATGAATATAAGGAGCCCTAATGAAGGCCCAGGGTTTCTTAATCAGGTTCCTACATTGGTGGGTTATGTCGGGTTTGGGAAGGGTATTCTATGCATGTGGTTTCAGTCGTTGTTGGTGGTGATGGTGGCGGCGGCAGCTGCAGGTGAAATCCATACTCCGGCTCAAAGATTTCTGGATCGTCAACCTCCAGCCACTCGACGAGTTCAGGGTTTAGGAGTGTAGGGTTTAGGGAAATTGTGATATTGTGATATGCGCTGTTCGTCCTAATTACAAAGGTTGTTGAAGCATTCTGCATGCCGTGCCTTCAGAAAGCCATTCCAGTATGTCAGCAACATGTTAAGTTAAGCAGTAGGAGCTCAGAGCAGTAGTCAGTAGTGCGGATGTTTTAGCGCAATACATACGATCCTAATAATTACCTTCCCAGAGGCGGGCACAGTATTCGCACTTCCGTTGAGACTTTGCAGCACACGTTGCGAATGCTCTGTTGCTAGGTAATAGCAACACGGGGTGCTAACTGCAAACCATCATTAGACGACGACAATCCGCTACTGTAATGCATCGTTAGTTAACACTTACATCCCTCCCAAAATAAAGATTAAAACAGCGATGGTGATTATAAGGCGTTTAAATTGCGAAAGGTGGTTTATGTATGCATCACGAGTCTACCTTCATCACTGCTCCTCGCCTATTACCTTGAGCCCACCCTGAAACTCTTGGAAACCCTTGGTTCCGAAGGTGCCAGGGGCACGCTCGCAACCCTTAGAGAGGACATTTCCATGAGTCATGTCGGGCTGGGAATTGTCTGATTAGGGCTCCCATGTAATTAGCGACAAAACCACAGGTATCAATACACTTTTGTTTTTGTCTCGCTCTTGCACCCTTGAGCCGAGGGTAGGTCACTCAGACGACGCCGAAGCTTCGACCCAAAGCCCTGTAAAGCTTGCATCCCAAACTTCAGCCTTACCAGCTTTGTATTCTACGGTCTCTTCAGAATCAAGGGCCCCACTTAAAAAAGAACTCCAGGTTCACCATCTTCATCGCCCTGTGCCACGCGTTTGACGCCGTGGAGGGGTCGTTGTTGGAGAACTATGGCTCCCTGGGAGATCTAGAGATGGTCAGGGCGGTGTCGTGTTGGGTTTCATGGGTTGTTTCCGCGGGTTTACTGTAGGGGTTTAGGGTTTAGGGTGGGTTTGTAGGGCTCCTGCAGGGAGTTTGTCGGGTGGTCTCAGGTTTGGGCTTTGGAGGTTTGGAGTTGGAGACTTACGGGTTGAGGTGGGCTTAACCTCACCCTCCCTGAAGTCGCGGGTTCCTCGGATGCTTGGGATTTCGGGCTTCCGGAGTTAGGCGTTTTATGGTTACAGTGCTGAGGCAAGGAATTCTGCCTGCACCGAAAGGTGTGATGCTTTGCCTTTGAATGCTGAGTGAGGCTATAATGCTTCTCTGACAAGCTGGACGGCGGTGTCCTGCGGTATCACTTCCATTCTCAGCACCTCGGCCGTAAATTCTAACAGGCTGCGCGATGTAGGATCGTAGGAGCTGACTTTCAGCACTTTGGATGTACCGTTTCTTTTGGCCCCGCGACGAGATGGCTCAGCCTTTGTACAAGTTTCCTGCCCAGGCAGGCCTTTGGTTTCCGCCTTGTCATTTTGAGGAGGATCTTGTTGAGGAACATGTAATGTGAGGATTGCCGTAAAGGTGCTTAAATGCTTCAACCATTGACAAAACACTTCCTTGTGAGGGGATCGGAGATTTCCGGTGCCCGTCCGGCAGCCCGATATTGCCTTGCCGTCTTCGGCATGGGATCGAAAAGGGGCTGTCAAAAAAGCAGAGGACCCAAAGGGAATTCTACTTTAGAACACTAGTCACGAGCCTGGCAGCGGTTTATCAACCCTAAACCCTAAACGACCCAAAGGCAACTATAAGTTTAGAACGGGCTTCGCATCGTGCATGCCGGCCCTATGGTCCCGCACGGACATGAGAAGCAACAGACAGAATACCGGAAGCCCCAAGCCCTGAACTCTAAAAAACAAATTCCCTAAAGCCTCAGCCGTGAACCGAAGACCAACTGTCTAGCGCACCCCTAAACTCTAGATTCCATGAGCCCTAATGTACTGCTGAGAGCGTGCTTTGCATTGTTGAAGGTGTGCTTTGGGTCGGGGTAAACTCTCGATTCTCTCGACCTCGACTCAGGTACCATCGTGGAGGCCCGGTGCATCACAAATGCTACCTACTACAAGGCCGGATTGGGATTCTTGAGAGCCCCGTAAAGAAGCTCCAATTGCCTAGTTCCTTCAAAATCCATGTGGTGAAAAACCCTCGAACTCTTATTCCAAAACCTTAAAACCCTTATCCCAAACCCCGAAACCTTGAAATGCACAACCCAAATCCCGCTTAAAACCCTTATCCCAAACCCCGAAACCCTAAAATGCACAACCCAAATCCCGAAATGCCAGGTGGCGCTGATGATTTCGAACTCTTTCATGGCCATGTCACTCCTGGTCGGTTTCCTGTCCGGTCCTTGGTTTGGGGCCCCCAAGTTTGATTGACCACCTTCACCCGCAAATGGTAGTTTTAGAAAATTAGGGGTGCGTTACTAGGGGGTCCTTGTAATGAGGATCCTGCTATTTAGGGTACTATATTAGGGTCCGGGTCCCCTATTTCCGGAAACTCCCAAATCTACCCAGGTGCCTGCACTACCAATGGCATTCCTTTGGTTTCATCACGGCCGTTGGCATCATGGGCCTCGCAACTCCAGGCCACAACCGTTAGCATTAGGTCTTTTGTCAAAGTGTTGAGATTGTGCTACTACTACTACTACTACTACTACTACTACTACCACTACTACTACTACTACCACTTGGGCTTCAGACTTCGAAACCAAATCACGATAGAACTATCCGGTCACTCATACTCCCACCGAGGCGGGAGCATGTTGAGGTTTTCGCTTGCAGATTTTGTGGGTAAAGAGAATATACCTATCAGAGCAGTGCCGAACAGCAGGTTCGATTTCTATTCTATATCAGAAATATTTTTCTAAAATTCTAAATATATTCATTATTCATAAATAATTTGGCGATCAAGTCTGGGACAGCCAGTGGCCCCTACATCAGATTTGCAGGGCAGTGCTCTTGAGCTGCCTCTCCCGTAGTTTCCACGCGGCTGAATCTTTCGTATGCGAGACCAGAACCTTAGGATGCAGAATAGCCTGACATCCTCGAATAGTAGAGCCTCTTATGGCACCCATGTCCTCCGGAGTAAAAGAAATGCCAAATAGAGCCTCACGAAGCCTTCAAACGCCATACCACACCCGTAGACGGACGCCTCAGCACTCACACACTAAACCGGAAGCCGAAGAACTGTTCAGGTCCAAAGATCCATTCCGCACAACCTACAAGCATACATACAAACATGCATACATACATAGCTGAGCTACAACACAGCATCACAACACTACAACACAACAAGTAAGTCTGGCAGAGATGCTGCATGAAACCCCATCATCTCCGCAGGCTGGGGCTGCTCCGCCGAGCTCGGTAGTGAGGCCCGGTTTCAGATCTCAGGGCTCCCTTTGGGGGTTCAGGCGTTTAGGGGTTTTAGGGATTAAAGCTCCATAGGGTTTAGGGGTTTAGGGGTGTGGTTTTCGTTGTTTGTGGGATAATTGGGGTGCGTTTGGGGTTTAGTCGCTTGGAGGTCTGTCGGACTACACGATTGCTATAAGGCTCTTCTGGTTTCTGTCGGGTGTCAGGGCGTCAGGGTTTCCAGGCTCAGGCTGCTTATGCTAAGGCTTTATATAAGGAAATCATATTAAGGAACCCTAAAATGCCTGCTTTCTTGAGGCTTTATATTAGGAAATCGTATTATCCAGCATTGATCAGTGTTGTTTTTCTCACTAGTCGAATTTGTTTCTCTCCCTGTACCATCCTCTGCCATGCTCACGGTGAAGAACATTGCTACCGTATTGACATTGATGTTGAAATTCCTTTGCTAACTGGCCCAGCACAGTACGGTCTGCAGAGCAGCACGGCCCCCTAGAGGGGCCCAGAAATAGTTGCACTAAGCGATTGAGTGTGGTGTACTGCATTACAAACGGGTTCCGAAGCGCCAATCACAGTGGCTTTCCTGTACGAAGCAAGGCTCAGATTCTTTGCGCAGGCCTCCTTGGGAATGCCCGCGAGTGTTTATGTTGGGGTTGCTGCTAGTACTCGACCCACTTCACATGGCCTGGCTTCGTTCGCGGCTGTGAGTGTCGGTGTGTTCCCCTGGAGTACTGCGTAGGGTTTAGGGCTGTGAGCTCAAATCCTTAAGCTCCAAGCGGCTCACTTCTTCCAGTGCGGTCGGGAGGTCTGCTTTCCTGCACGGGAAGCCACAGTGAACGGGCTGATGGAGGCACAGAACCGGGGTTTGCAGTTGGAGGGCTTAAAAAGTAGCTGCCTGCATAATTAAACCCAAAAGCCCCGCACTGTAGGTAGCGTGACCTCGAATGGGGCCGCAGGCTGTAAAGTTTAAGTCTTCTTGGATTCGAGTTTGGGGTTCAGGGCGTCTTTTTGCTTTATCCTCGGAGAAGTCCAGAGAAGGCTTCGCATAAATTTGCGCAAGCCCTGAAGCCAAGTTGAGGCGCTGCAAGTGCTTATATCTAAACATACCAAGCAAAGCACGCGTGGGTTGCAGTTGCTTTCAGTTTCTCACTGCCCTCAGAAGTAGGTGAAGAGTGCCCTGAGAAGCATGGAAGCAGACATATCGAAAACATTGCGTGTGCCTGAAATGACACACTATAGTCAAAGTGACAGTATCACTATAGCATGCTTCACTAGTTCCTAGTAGTAGAGTAGGAAACCTTTAACCTTTTCTGGGTAGTATAGTCTCTGTATAATCCCAGTATAACCAAAAAAGGTTAACCTTTCGTTCCCCATGATACCCGACAAGTAGGAGTTAACCTAAGGCGGTTCCGAGGGTGAAGACGTTTTGCTTCAGGGTCTCGGCTGTTGGGTCTACTGTAGGGTTCAGACTTTGAGCTTGTTGACGTTGCTCCAGCTTAGTCTCCTAAGGAATTAGTTTTTGCAGTTTTGTTGATATAAAACCCACAAGAATATTAAAAAATATTGTTTTGTAATGGTTCTGAGGGGGGGTATAGCCAGGGCTTCCCGGATTCCAGAAGAGAGGAGGCTCAGCTTTGGGGGAGGGATCCCGATCCTGGCCAAGCACGGATTTGGATGCGTGATTGTACCAAAGAATAACCGACAATAATGAACAAGTGATAGTAGAAATAGTATTACAAATAATGGTAATGGTAATAACAATAATACAACACTCTTATTATGTGGGTTCACAACAGTTGATGGGGTTTCATGAGAGTGTTAACAACATGCGTCCAAAGAGCTCTTGCAACTATGCAGGAACCCTGAACCCAAAACCCAATAAGCCATAAACCGCCCAAGCCCTGGAGCCTTAGTTTCAAGAAGTTCTGTTCGGCACTGGTGCAGGCCTTCAGCAACTTAGCCGGAGTTGCGGCCATCGTGCAGGGCTCAGAACGGGGTGTGGGCCCTGTAGGAACTTTTTCGGGCCCCTTTGTCTTTATCGTAGTGGCTGAGTAGGCAACCAGATCCATGTTGGGGGATGTGCGGTACCATAGATTGTCTATCCTACACAGAACGCCTTTAACTGTTTGGGTTGTATATTGAAAGTCTTCCTTACGGTGTCGGAGTACCTTTTTTGAGCCAAAGAAATCTTTCCGGCTCCTCCTGAGGTCATGGCCCAGGAGGGCATCGATCAGCACCTAGGAGCTGGGGTGACTCGGCTGAAAGTTGATTCTTGGTTCGCAGACTGTAAAGTTTCGGGTTCAGTGTTTGGGGTTTAAGGCTTTCGGCTTCGGGCATGGGTCATCATTTTTTTGCAGGTTGTCGCGTGTGACCCATTTAGGTTTCCTGGCCCTAAAGTTCGGACTCAAGGGGTGAGGGGGTTGGGTGCAGGCTTCAGCTTCGCCTTGCAAGCTATGGCATTCTTGCATCCCCTTTTGCTACGTAGGCTTTTTGTTTGTTGCACCTCTTCGTGACCAAGGCTGGGTGCACAGGCCTAGAGCTTTGAAGGTTGGTGGTTGCCCTAAACCCCAGACCCGTAGATCCTTAGTTCCTGAAGTCATAGACCTTGAAGCCTAATAAATGGCTACGGCTCAAGCAATCGGCTCAAGCTTTGATCCCATTCTCGCGGCTATCTTTCATCTCGCAGGTGTCTGGGAGGATGGCGCGCTTGGTGCTCATTTTGGTCTTGATCGTCGCGGGGGGAGTAGTGCCACGCGGGAACACCCCGCCGCCGGAGTCTGCCCGGGTGAGAGGCAATGAAGCGCCCGTCACCCCGCCGCTGCCACCGGACCTGGCCACCCCGCCTGTCCTGGCAGACTCCGCAGTGCCGTCGGCTGCCTCCTCCGGAGACCCCGTGACAGCAGAGTCCTCGAACTCAGATCGACCTCTAGTTCCTTGGGAGAACATCGACGACGAGGCAGCCTGGGAGGAGGAGGAGTCGGAGGTCGGCGAGTATGACTGGGACGTCGCGGAGTTCCCGGACCTCTTCGAGGACTTCCCGGAGAACGACGCGACTCGCCATGACGCGGACGTGGCTGCCTCGCTAGAGCTCTTTGCCACGGAGCCTCCCTTGCCCGTCGAGCTCGCTTCGAGCAGCACGGACGCCCCGGTCATGGCGGTTCCGGATTTGGCCGTTGAGGTCGCCTCCGGTAGCAGCGACGCCCCGGTGATGGTTCATCCCGGCGGCGGGGACGAGAGTCCCACGAAGCGGCGCCTTTGGTTCTCTCGCCATCTGTGCTGCTTGCGCCTGACCTACCCTCGACGTTGGAGGCAATAAGTACACAACTTCCTGATGCTGCTCCTCATGAGCAGGGTTTTTTAAGCTATGTTGGAGTTTATATAAACCAGAATATCCGACATGATCCAGTATCGTACGCGTAGCCATTCTCCTTGAGGCGCGTAGATGCGCGTAGGCCTTGCGTAGGCCGACCTGTGGCATAGGCTGCGTAGGCTATGTTTTGAAATGTGCTAAGATAGGAGCAAGAGGTTTGTGCCATATTTGAGTCTTTTCCTGTTGAGCAGACTGTAGTTAGTATTACAATTAATCGAAGTCGTGCCGTGATTGCATCCCAGGGCACGTGGGCCCATGCAACACAATAGAGTTCCAGTTTCCGTAAGTAGTTTTACTACAGACCTCGAGGAGGTCCAAAATCGGATGTAGTTGGTTGCACTTTGCGTAGGCACGGCGTAGTCCTTGCGTAGGCTGCGCGTAGCCTTAGGAGTCGCTTTCTTAATCATTCATGTTGACCTCCTTACTTGGATTTCCGGGTCTAGACTTGCGGCTGCTGGATTGAGGTCTTTGCAGGGTGTTTCTTCGATTTTTTCACGCAGCCAGCTATATCTACACGAAAGCAGAACATACGTAAAGGCTTCGACGTTTTGGAAGACAAGTCCTCCTAAGCCTCCGTAGCGCGTAGGCTTGCGTAGGCCATCATAGCTCGAGATATCTCTGTGTAGGGAGTTTTCCGCATGGTGGGCCTGGATAGCGCGTAGAGTGGCGTAGCCCAGCGTAGGCTCTATATGGATAAGAACCGCCCATACAACAAAAAAATCACCGCTCTCATGAAGTTGCAGGCTATCGACGAAGAGCGTGGAGGCTCCACGTTCAGCGGTTGTATGAGGAGGCTGATCGCGACCGGCCGATTGGTCACTGGCCGGCTGAAGATGATCGTGATCTGTTCATGGTCCAGCAGAACGAGAAAGTTCTCCCAACCAACTGGCCATCTTCTATGGGGCTCCCCTCTTCTTGGCGGCCTACTCGCTCTTCTCGTCTAGCAGGGGCTGATGATGTACCTGGCGTCGCTGCTCTACCTGGAGTCGTTGATTCTGCACTTCGTCCTTCTCGTGCTGATGGAGACGGTGCTGGTCTACTTGGGGTTGGAAGCCGTAATGCACCTCGCAATCAACGCCGTCGGCATCATCTCCCGCGTCCACCTCCGAGATTTGTCCGTCCACATACTGTTCGACCTGAGCATTTACAGGGGCCTGCTGCTGATGGTAGTTTGGGGCATCAGTCTCGCCATCACCGTTCTGCTGACCTTCGTCGTCGACGCAACCCTCCTCGTGACCGCAGTCGCAGCCGCGATGAATTTGTACACGATGGACCTGTACGTAAAGGTGGACCTGTACCTGAAGGCCCTGTACATGTTGGACCTCTACATGCTGGAAATATACTTGATGGTCCTGAGTCTGTCGTCCCTGCTTCTCATGGTGCCAGTGTCGACTCTCATGCTCCTGACTCTGAACCTGATGGGGGTGATGAGTGGGTTCGTAATGCTCGACGTCGTGCTGCTTCCTCCTCTTCCTCTTTACGTCGTGAACTGAGCCGTGAGAGGAGCCTGACCTGAGTCGGGTGCGAGCTATCTGGGTTGAGTCTAGTCAATGCCGTCTGAGCGGAGTCAAGTGTTCGCTGCTGTCCTTTCTGAATTGATGGAGACACTATCTTAGTGTAAGCCAATTGGCAGGCTACGGACCTGCTCTGCATGCGGAGCGGAGAAAGAGCCACTACACTTTAAAAAAAAACCCTAAAGCCCTAAGCCCCAGAATCCTAAACCTAAACCCTAAGACCTGGACCCCTTTACGGGCGCCTCGGAGGTGCTGGCGGTAATGGCCGCTACGGCTCTGGCAGGGGCGCTCCTGCTGGTGCTTCTCTCAGGCGCGTCGGCGCTCACCCGAAGAGTCGGATCTACAGGGACTTGAACTACCGGGATAGGGCTTTGTAGGGGCCCACATGTGTTGTAGGGATTCATACAGGCTCCTATTTAGACAAGGGTTTTATTAGGGTTTAGGGCTGAGTTTGAGTTGCGGGTCTGTTCAGGCATGATGCTACAGGCGCCCAGAATGATTAGGATAGAGTTTTATAGGACATACAGGCTTCTGGATAATTAGAACCGTGCTTCATTAGGGTTTAGGGTTGAATTGGAATTTGAATCTAGGGTCTATGCAGGCATAGGGTGACAAAAGGGTGACGGCTAGACGCGTGTTTTCTATGGAGTGTATAAGTGCTTTCAGTGTTTAGTATAGGTTTCTCATGGCCAGAGGTTGTTTATTGGGCTTATGTAAGGTCTATCGGAGCTTCGTAGGATTTTGCACAAGGGGTTTTACTGGTAATAAGTAGAGCTGGATGTTTGGGACTACGCTAAGATGATGATATTGGGGCGGAGGTGGCAGTGGCGACGTGGGATGTCTTACTCGGGACCAAACTCTGTTCTCGATGCAACGAGTAACGATTAGTATGGGGGCCTCAATAATTATCTATACTATGCTGGGGGTTCCTCATTATAATAATTAAAGCATAGTGGACCCTCAAATCCCGTTTAAATTATTAAGGCCCCTACATTAACGATTGAAGGATGCCGACCCCTCAAGACGATGGTCGCCCTAGCCTAGCCCTCCTGCACTCCTTACCTGTGACTTAGTGGGACTAGATGCCGCAAGATTTGGCCAAAATGGGGACTAGTAACAGATGCTGCTTAGTGTTACAGCATAGTATACAATATACATGTACAGCTTCTCAACACACTTGTCGATCAGTTCGCCTGTACTAGTCTTTCTTTAGAAACCCCTAACCCTCTATAAACCGCTCCTATATTGTGAGCGTACCTGAAAACTGGAATTTTGGCCTCGAGTTTGGTTCTTTGAACCTTGCTGCCAAGGACCAGGTCGACCCCTCCCTTGAATTCCTATGTTAAACACTGTAGACACCTGATTAAGAATCTCTTGTCTGATCGCGGTTAGGCCACTGCCACAGAGGTCTACAGTATGCACGACATGAAGCCCTGTGTTAAGTTGTACGACAGTAAAGCCTACAGGTCCACCCCCAAACTGTGAGGAATTAAGTCGAAACAGTGAAGCCGCCAAAGCCTACTATAAGGGCCTTAATAATTAGCAATAGTGTTCTGGGGTATCCATATTATAATTACAGTATAATGGGCACCAAAACCCGTAGATCCCTTATAGTAACCTTTATAGAGCCCTTGAAAGGAACCCTATTCTAATTATCAAGGCCCCTACCCAGAGACTCCAATATGCCTTAATTAAGGAATATACCGTACCCTAAATCATATATAAGGGATCCTACTATAATTTAAGGTATATTCCTTAATTAAGGGATATTGGAGTCTCTGGGTACACTAGCCCTTCACCCACGCCCATCCTTTTTCCTCCGAAAAGGTCGGCTACGCCGTTGCGAGGCTGGCCCGCTCGGCGCCGAAAGTCATGGGCTTTAGGGGTTCCTTTAAGGGTTCCTTAAAAGAGCTATGAGGGATCTATAATAGGGTTTTGGGGTTAGGGGTGAAGGGTTCAGGATTGTAGTTGTGTTTAGGGCCTCAAGCTGAGGGACTCTATTTCAGTTCGGAGTTGTTCGTAACGTTGGGGAATGTTGGGTGCTTTGTGCAATTCGCGTGATCGGATGTGTGAAATAGGAGTCGGACTTGAGGGGAAAGGTTGCTGCAATGACGCCTCAAACCCCAAACCCTAAACCCGCTGCCAGAATGCTAGTCAGATTGGGCGGTATGGTGTAATGACAGTCATGACCCAGAATCAGTGATGTGATCAAAGTGCCTTGAGACCCAAACGAGGTCCTTTTGGAACCGGGGGATAAAGCCAGCCGTGATCCTAAACTGGACAATCCAAATCCTAGCTTTTTCAGCCCCGAACTCTGAAACTTCAAACTTACAAAAACAATCACGATACACCCCCAAACCTAAACCCCAAAACGTAAAGAAAGCCCTGAGCTCTAGCCGCTCCAGCCTCCGTCCCCGCAGATGGAAGAAAGCCCTCGGGTAGACGAGGAGGCGAGGGAGCATCGGAGGTGTCTTCGGATTTTAGGGCGGATAGGGTTTAGAGTTTAGGATTTAGGGCCAGCTTAGGGGGTTAATCGTGCAGCTTGGGTAGTTTCGGATTCATCAAGTTCGTAGACTTTTAGTGAGTGTGTTTTGACAGCCCTCTTTCCTTACATGTCCGATCCACAGATCAGAAATGAACCCCCCCCCGCCGATGCCTCTGCTCTGTTCCTTGGTCGCTTCAACCTAGGGTCAGAGAGTTAGAGTTGGGTTCAATAACGGAAGGGACAAGTTCATATCTCTCTTGCCATGCCCTGCTTTGATGCTTCGATGGGCTTCAGAAAATTCAGGTCCATCGCTGGCTAGGTTTCGCAGTACTCGTATGTTCTTTCTAGTTGGAGTCTCCTTATTGAAACTGAATCATAGGAAGAGGGTACCCTTGTTGAGGGATCCGTAGTTATGATCGGAGCGCTGTATTCGGCTTCGGTGTTTCTGAAACTCCAAGTACCTATTCTGCTAGCAACCACGATGGGGATGATGGCGATGTGGCGATGACAGTTCGGTACGTAGGCAGCTGGGGAGGAATAGGAAAGTAGGGAATTGGTCAGCAATGGCAATTCTGCTCACTTGCTTGCAGCAGCCATCGTTGCTATGGCCGGCTCGTGACCTTCTTATTGTTATTAAACACGACATATTGTTTCTTGGTGATTGCGGTTGTTATTATTCGTTCATGCATCATTCAGCCTGCTTCTTATGTGGTACTCCGGTTACTTGAACCGGAGGCATTAGCTTGTTATTTCTATGATTGCTACTGGCTTTTCTGCTTGATCTTTTGGGTGACAAACACTCGTATCACTGCAGCTTTTGTCGATTTGCAGGTGGAGGAGGAGTAGCGTTGTCATCATTATTCTGTGTGTTCGCATCGCCGTCGTCTCTTGCTGTGTTGGAACTTGTAACGAGCAGAACCACAAGCAATGCCCCTGCTGTGTCAAAGCCAAGGACAGTGAAGTGCTGCAGGTCCGCAAACAGGCCCTGCTCTGTTTGAAAAGGATTCATTATTGTTCTTGTTGCTGCTGCTGCTGCTGCTGCTGCTGCTGCTGCTGCTGCTGCTGCTGCTGGCGCTGGTGCTCGTGTTGGTGCTGTTGCTGTTGCTGTTGTGGTGGTTGTGGTGGTGGTGGTGGTGGTGGTGGTGGTGGTGGTGGTGGTGGTGGTGGTGGTGGTGGTGGTTGTTGGTGGTTGTTGGTGGTTGTTGGTGGTTGTTGGTGGTTGTTGGTGGTTGTTGGTGGTTGTTGGTGGTTGTTGGTGGTTGTTGGTGGTTGTTGGTGGTTGTTGGTGGTTGTTGGTGGTGGTGGTTGGTGGTGGTGGTTGGTGGTGGTGGTGGTGGTGGTATCGTATTAAGGCCCAGCAAGATTGCATCCTTTTTTGGGGGGCTCTCTGACCAAGCTCTTTCAACCAAACCCTGAGCTGACCTGCGAGTTTCGGGTTCGGTTTTGGCGTGTTCGGCGGGGCGTGGGGTTTGGGGATCATGCTATAGGGGCTTAAATAAATACCTGGACTGTTTTGGGGGGGGGTCCTTATTATAATTATCATATAATGGGCCCAGAATCCTCTTCTAATTGTGAAGGCCCCGATATTTCCAGCATCGATTTTGCACGGATGCAAAGGCGCCCGAAGCTACCACAGAGCAGATCGCTTTCATCTCATCAAGGCAACGCCCCTTAACCCTGAAACGAGACATGATATCATATTTCTGTGTCATGTTGCACACATGGGTATTATATACACGGACATACGTATGTATAATATGTATATAGCCGTATCAATATACCTAAACCCTGAAACCTGAACCATCCCAAATCCTGAAAGCACCTGTAAAAGTCAACAAACACCCTCAACACCAGCAAAACCTTAGCTGCGCCTATCCGAGTCAGATGCGAATGGCACAACTGGTCGAGATCCATCGGCTGAGCTTTCAAAGGGCCGAACTAAGCCCTGCCTATTAAATATTTTGAGAGGCCATGTACTCAGTGACAAGCCCGAAACCCTCGGTCCCAAAGCCCTTGAGCCTCCGTAAACCCCTAAAGCCCCTAAACTAAAAGCGCAGATTTAAGATTGCACAGGACTTCAAGGCGGACACGTCACTTCCCGCGCAGGACTGCAGAATTTTCGGCAGGGTTCGGGAGTTTTTCGGGTGTAGGATTTGAGGTTCAGGGATTTGGGGTTTTAGGTTTGGGAACTTGCGGTTTAAGGTTGCTTGCAAGCTTTCAGCTTAATGGTTCAGACGGTTAAGATGTATACGCGTAAGATAGTGTGCTTTTTATGGCAAGCCTACCTGAGATGGGTCCAAGGTAATTGCATTCTCGGACGACAGCAGCGACAGCGAACGAACGTCGGCGGCAGCGACAGCACTACCTTACTACCTCCTTCCTACCTACCTGCCTGCCTACCGACCACTACGGCTACAGCTGTGACACTGCAGCTCTGTAGGGCTGATCCTACGCCTACTACCACTCCTACTCCTATACCTGCTACCCCTGCTAGTACGATGACGACTGCTACTGCCACCACTTCACCGCCACCACCACCACCACTACCACCACCACCACCACGACTACTACTGCTGCTACCACGATCACTACCACTACCACTACTCCCACTCCCACCCCTACCCCTTTTGTTACTCCTACTACTCCTCCTTTTATCCGACTCCTACCCCTGCTCCTGATCCTTGCAGCCTAAATCCTTAAATCCCAAACCTTCCCGAAATCTCTTCGACACTCTAAACCCTTAGCCCTTCCACCCTAAACCCTCAAACAACCCGAAACTCCCCGCTTCATGTGGGTTTTTTGTCAAAAGTATGGTCCCTTGTTGGGTCATTGTAATTATGACTATACGGCACTTTATATTTAGGGTACCCCAAAAAAGGAACCCTAATTTTGACAACCACCCATGCGGCAGGACAGGCACGAGAAAATGCGAGTCTCCCACGCGCACTCCAACCGCAAGGCCTCAGCCTGTGCAAGTTTAGCACTGCGTTGTCATAGCTGGGTAACATTTTACATGTTTATGGGTATTTACACCCAAGAAGAAGGAATATAAATGTACATGTTTAAGCCTATCCCAACGATGAACTAGATTACTGCTCTCATGCTGTTAGGGTGTTTACAGTAGAGTTTAGGTCTGTTCATATTCATGGCTCTTGGGAGCTGAGGGTTTAGGGTTGTTCATAATTCGCGTCTTTGATTTTTGTGAGTGGTGCATGATTCAAGGTCAACGGGCTTAGGGTGTAGGGTCTCCGACAGAAACCGAATGCTAAGCTTCAAAAGGCTCCTTAAAGCCCAGGCAAAACCCCTCAACAACCCCTAAACACGGACGCCCTTAGCCCAAGAACCCTGATGTAAGGGCCTTAATAGTTAGAATAGGATTTGGGGGGTTCCTTATTATAATTGTAGTATAATGGGCCCCAAAGCCCTATTATAATATAGATTCCCGAAAGCCAGGGTTATTCAGTTGATGTGCAGCATGCAATGTGAGCTCTTGTATGCCAGCGGATGGCTCAATCGAGCCTGCCAAAGGCCCTGCAGTCTAGGCTGAAGCAACATGTATAGGCCAGCCTAGGTTACATGATCGGCAGAAGCCAGCAAAGGGCTTAGGCCATGATCAGCAGAAGCCACTTGCACTGAGGTCTTTGTGTGTGCGTTAAAAAGCTTTGTGTGCCTCTCGCCGATGCTTGGTGCTTCAACAGCATAAACCCTTGCCAGAAAGAGCCTACGATCCGAACCAATAGGTTCTTCAGGTTATGATCGCCCAAGCTGCCAGCGCAGAAGGTGCGGAGCCGCGAGGGTCTGGTGTGCGAGATGGAGTTCCCGCTCAGAACGTTCAGATGAATGGTGTTTCTGCAACAGAGAGAGCGAGTAACAATCCTGGAGAAAGTGGTGTGTTCTCGGAAAATCCGAATGTTCATGACCCGAGCCCGGGAGTGCCTCGTCAGTCTACTGCAAGAGATCCGGCTTCTGGACAGATGTTTCTGGGAACAGCGGAACCGCCTTATGGAAATCTACCGGATACGGGCGCGAACGTTATAACTCCGGGAGCCCATGAACCAGGTGTTTCCACGCCAGCCCGCAGGGAGCCAAGGCCTGCGGCGACGCCTACGAGATCGGCCGTGAGAGTGCAAGAGTTCTACTCGGCTGAGCAAGGTGATGGAGTTCAGGGAGCAGATCATGGAAATGTACGGTGGATGGCTAGGTTTACTGAGTTCTTGAGAACTACGGCAACACGAGGGGTCACGGGAGTGGACAGGTTTCTGGACAACTTGGGATTTACGCGTCAAGGTGTGAGTATGATTCCTTCAGACCCGAGAATGCAGCGATCTTTGAACTCCCCGTTGAGATTTTCCCCACCAGAACCGCTACCTGAACACCAAGAACAAGCAGCACCTCCGGTTCCTTTGTCCTGGGCGAGCTATCAACAGCAGAATGCGCCTCTTTTTGGTCCTGCTCAGGTTGCTCAGCTTCGACAATCTCAGAGAGATCACCCTCAGCTCTATGGATACCAAGCAGCTTCAGAGGGAGAAAGTGATCGGTCCTCCCGGTTACAAGCGGAAGTGCAAAGACAGTTGGAAGAGTACAATGTGCGGTACCAGGCTCAGCTACAAGGTCTCTTACAAGAAGTGGAAGTCCTAAGAGCTGAACGTCGGCTATGGCAGCAACAGCAAGGGGAACCCCGAAGCCTATGCCCTGATCCTACGGTACCCCAAGGGAATCCTCAACATCAACCTGAAAGGCATCCTCCGCAGATACCTGGAGCTTCTACAGTACCACAAAGCGATCCTCTCTCAGCTGTTCAAGGCCGTGCTGTTCCTATCAGTGATCCTGTTAACGTACCAGCGGGTGATCAAGGACTCAGTACGGAGCGTGTGGGAATCGAAGATACCAGAGCATTGGGACAAGGAGAAAGCGGGTTGTTAGGCAGCAGTCAGAGGCCTGATGATCCAACTGTACCCCGAGGGAATCCTCAACATCAACCTCGTGGTCCTTTTGAAAATGATAGTCAAGCACGTGGTCAAGAGTCTGGTCCTTTTGTGAGTCAAGCACGTGGTCAAGAGTCTGGACAGTCTACCCGTAAGGAGCAAGAACAAGCTCAATCGATGGAAGGATCTGGGCACGGCGGACCCCACGACCCAAGACCTTCAACGGAGGCGCCAACGGCACAGCAGTGGTTGGGATCGGCACCCTCTACAGATGCAATGACTTTGATAGCAGGTGGTGTGGCGCAACTTCAAGCTGCTATGTTGAAACAGATGTCAACGGACAAGAGCGGTGAGAGAACTCCGGAAACTGTGAAGCCGGGGACCAGCACCCTTCCGGTTTTGCCTCCGGTGAGATCGGAGCCCTCAAGTGTGGACCTGTTGGACTGGCTGGAACTGATAGAGTCTCCGATGAGCGATCTTTCAGATGGGAGCGCGTCTTGGTGGAAGCAAGTTCGGGCGTTGTCGAAGGAGGCCTACGATGCGTGGGTTGTTTCAGGGCCTATTGAGCGTCTTGGTGTAGTACCAGCTTCAGGAGGAGAACTTGAAGAAGGAAAATGGTCCCGTGTGAACTCCCGGGCGGCAAGTATGATTCTCACTGCCCTTGATGAGTCGATCCGGTCGGAGTTGGTTTCCAGGCGAATGACGGGTTCGGTGATCTCCATAATCTTCAGACTCCTCACGCTTTACCAACCTGGTGGCGAAGAAGAAAAATACCGTACTCTCCAACAGCTACAGAACCCTCCAAAGGAGAACGAGCCCTCAAAGGCTGTCGAGAGTCTTCGTGCATGGAACAGATGGCTGAGGAGATGCAAGGAGCTCAACTTGCAGGTCCCTGATCCAAGCTTGCTTGTCCGAGGACTTCATGCTCTTGTTCGTGGAGTACTTGACAAGAATAGTGAAGCTAGCTTCAGAACAAACTTGGTTCGCTCCAACTTGAAGATCGACTCGAACCCCACAATGGACAATGTCGAGAAGTACTACAAGCACTTAATGGGTGAGTGTGAGTCCCTAGCAACAGCGATTCCAGCTACAACCGGAACTACTACAACCTCACCTACTCGACCGGAACCAAAGCTGAGGCCGATGAAGACGGATACGAGAACTACTACCACACCGCCTTCAACACCCTCTGCGCCAACCAGAACTACTACAACCAATGCTTCGAACTCAGGTGGAGAAGAAGAAAGGGACAAGCGGAAGGAGACGCCTTGCAAGTTCTTCGGCAAGACCTACAAGGGGTGTGCTCGAGTTGGAAAGTGCCCGTTTCTTCACTCGTGGAAGGCTTGGAGAAGGAGCGAAGCTCAAGATGTCTGGCTTGCGGTGGGAAACACATGGCCAAGGATTGCCCGAACAAGAAGCCTCCAGGAACGCCCGGAGGAGGATCTGGAACACCAGAAGCAAAGGGGCAATCATCGACTCCGAGGCAGCAATCTTCAACTTCCTCTACTACAACGCCCCCGGCAACGAAGACGGTGCGAATCGACGACAACCCGGAGGTGGAGAATATAGAGGGAAGGAGTGCGGAACCGAAAGGAGAAGCTGCGCAGGTGGATTTGAAGGAAGTGCTTTCAGACGTCGGAAAAATCCTGAAGGCCATGTCTGCTTCGTCTATCAAGAAGTTTGAGGTGGATGGGCAGGAGAAGACGCAAAGCGCGGAGCCGCAGCCGGAACCAGAAGTTCCTCCTGATCAACCAAAGGTCGCGGCGTTGGAAGTTTCAGAAGATGAAGGTGGCACGGGCTTGCTGGATAGTGGAGCAAGTCACCCAATGAGGCCTGCAAAGAGTGATGAGTACCAACGCGGTGAACCAGTACGGGTGACCCTTGCAGGAGAAGATGTTCGAGTTTTACGTCAGAACCCACAAGGGACGATCTTGGTTCAGGAGGAGGACACCCAGGTGCAACCAATAGTGCCCCTCGGCGCGGTCATAGAGAATCTTGGCTACACGTTGCACTGGAGCCCTCGAAACCTACGCTTGACGCATCCCTCGCGAAAGAGCGTGAAGGTCAAGATCAAGAACCACTGCCGCACTGCCCGGAGATTGCGGCGTGCGATGCTTTGAACCTGATTCAGGAGCTGGAGATGTCACAAGTGAGGGACTTGAACACCCATGTGGAGTCGCTGCGTGCAAGGTTGGAGGTGATGAAGAAAGAGGAAAAAGGGACTGGACAGAGCTAATGCGAGAGTTCTCTCGCACAGGTTCAAGGGCAACTTTGTTGAGAACTCTCTTGCTGTGCCCCTTCACAAAGGACCTGCCGGCCGACGTTCAGTCACTGTTGCTTCGGAGCTTCGATCCTCAAGGGGGTGAAAGGTATTTGAAATCTTTGCCCCTTACCAGGAGAAAGCGAAAGATGTTGATGAGTTCCAAAAGTTGGGTTGTGAGTATGACTTCGCATAGTCAACGCTTCAAGAATGACCCCTTCGAGGCCATCCCGCTCTCAGGTAAGGTCCTTCTCCAGAATGACATGGCTCAGTCCAAGTTATGGGATCCTGATCGCGAGGAAGGTTTTTACTCACTGCTTTTGTGGGCGGCGTCTACGGGAAGGATTTCGGACATGATGGCGACTCCCCCATGCGGTTCTTGGCCCAACTCTCTCGCGCCAAGGAAAGGACCGAGCTCTTATCCAGTAAGATCAACGAAAGAGCCCTACGGGATCACGGGACTTGCAACCTGGCAAAGGCAGGAAGTGGATAAGGAGACTGCGGCTATGGCGAGGCCAATGTTGTTGTGGACTATGGCTCAACTTTGCGGCCAAGGAAATGTGGGTTTCTTGATGGATTTTCCGTCCGATGAGGAACGACTGCGAGACGATGATCCAATGAGAGCGTCCCCTTGGGAAACGGAGTTGTGGAAGTCCTTCAAGTCCATAGCGGGCATGAGTAAGGTCTCTTTCTACATGGGAGCGTACGGACATAAGGCCAAAAGACCTACGACAATGGCTACCACCTACCCCAGCTTATGCCAGATCGACAATA